GCTAGAAGCCATGCACCAGTTTCTCTTCCCCATATTTGCCCCTTATGGTTTCTGCAAGGTCATAGATCAGGTGCACCAAGCCTGCACTACTTGTCATCATGTCTCATCTCAAGGTGCTCTGAAGATCTGGATGGCCCTCCACCAGATGAGGGGAACAATCCCCGGACAGGACTGGCAGGTTGATTTCACCCACATGCCTAAGCATAAAAAACTCCGGTATTTACTAGTTCTGGTTGATACCTTTTCAGGGTGGATTGAAGCCTTCCCCACCAGCCAGGAAACAGCTTTGGTAGTGGCACAGACATTGGTGGCACATATCACCCCCACTTTGGCCTGCCTGCCTCGCTACAGTCGGACAACAGCCTGCTTTTGTCTCTCTGGTCACTCAGCTAGCAGCCAAGGCTCTCAATATCACCTGGAACCTCCATATACCCTACCACCCCCAATCATCGGGTAAGGTCAAAAGGGCTAACAGTCTCTTAAAAAAACAACTAACTAAGCTGTCTCTAGAGGTAAAGCTCTTGTGGCCCGATCTCCCCATAGCTCTCACTTGGCTGCATGCTGTCCCCCGGGGACCGACTGGACTAAACGCATTTGAGCTGATGTATGGCAGGCCATTCTTACTAATCACAGGCCTGTCCACTACCTCTCCTCCTTTGGCCTCCTACCTTCCTTACTTTACACTGTTGTGACATCTTCTTAGGGGACACGCAGACCAGCTCCTACCCCAACCTACATCATCCAACAACCCAGGAGACGTAGTGATCCCTCAGCCTGGAGATGAGGTACTCCTAAGAGAACTCCAGCCAAAATCTCTCCTACCCCACTGGACAGGGACTTATACAGTACTCCTCACTACACCTTCAGCAGTCAAACTACATGGGCATTCCTCCTGGTATCACCTTTCTAGTCTCAAATGGGCACCCAGACATGATGATTGGGTGTCTTATGAGGTAGGTCCTCTTAAGCTGTGGGTTAGTCATGTCAAGTACAACCAGCCAGATGAATAGCCTGGTAGTCTCCAAGCACAGTTATTCTTCATGGAAGTTTAAGCTCCAACTTACTCTTTAAGGAATCATCTGAGAAGTAGGCACCCAAAGTTGCCCACATGTAGGTTGTCAGGCACCAATTCAAATGCCGGTACACACAGACATCTTAAACACTTTTTCAAACCCTACGCTGTGCTTTCCGTATGACCAAATCTCTCATACATGTATTTTCCAGTCTGACATGTATGGGGGATGTCATCCTGAATTAGACACATGGAGAGTTCATGCAGTAGAAAAAAACAGCAAGAGGACTCTCTGACAACATGTTCTTCAGAATACAAGATAAGCTATACATTACCATTAGAGACCCTTAGGATCCACACTGAGAAAAAGGAGTACAGGGCAAGCTATATGATAATTACCAATGGTCCCCACAGGGCACAGTATACATCAAGAAGGAATGGACCACTGTAAATCCCACTCTCACGGAAGTTCTAAACACCCAGGCACAGGTATCAGGCAATATTCGAAAAACAGAACAGGCACTAAAACAAGATTCAGTTGGACCCCTACCCCCAACTCTCTACAACCAGCAGGAGCATCACTTTCCTGGGCCAGAGATTAGAGAAACAGTATGGTTTCTTAATGCTTCACATATCCTCAGCAATGTGCCTGATTGTTTCCTCTGCGCCTTCCTCCAACGCTCCCCAGTGGTGGCAGTTCCCATTAGTTTTTTCCAGGCTCAACCAGTAGGACCCTGCTTTTTGGTGATGCTGGTGCCCCAACTAACATTGTACAGCAAGTCTAAGGTAAGACAGGCACTAGATGAATGGTCTATATATCAAAACACTAGACAGAAGAGGGCAGTTTTTCTACCTGTGCTAGTGGGAGTGAGCCTAGTTACTGCAGTGGCCATGGCTGCCACAGGGGCAGGAGCATTAGGCCATAGCTTAGTGAGTTCTCAGGGTCTAGCAAGTCAATTGGTGGCATTAGATGATAGAGTGAGCCTAACCTTGGGACAAACCTTGACCTCCCTTATTTCCCTCCAGTGACAACTTACTTCCCTTGCCCAGGTCACCCTTCAAAATCGGCAGACCTTAGATCTGCTTACCACAGAAAAGGGTGAAACCTATGTTTTCTTGCAGGAAGAATGCTGCTACTATATCAATGAGTCTGGGGTAGTAGAACAAAGCATAAAAAACTACAAGAACTACAAAAAGATCTCGACAAAACACGAGTACCTGAAGACGGCCCTTATGGGTGGCTTCAGTCTCCCATAATGGCCTGGCTAATGCCTCTGATAGGCCCCTTAATAAGAGTTTGTGGTTTACTCTTAATTGCCCCATGTGTTTTCAAGTTACTTCAACAGGGCATGGCAGAAATTTCACACATAAAAGTTAATCAACTGTTGCTGCACAAGTACTCACCCCTCCCAAGTGAGCCTCCCCCAGCTGTCAACAAGCCTTAAACCTCCCCCCACGATGCCCCTTGTCAGCCAGACGTAGCCAGATTGAATCATCACCCATTATGACCAAACGGCTGGAATGTAAGGCTGGAGGCACCAGGGGAAGGGGTGAGTCTGCTGGACAAGCTCAGGCCTCACCAAACAAGGTGAAGAGACTAAAGGGTTCCTGTCTGACAACATTCCAGAGACTGATTGGATTACATTCCTAACTAGAGCCCTTCCCCCAAGCTAGAAGATTAGTGGTAACTTTCCAGAACCTGGCTAAAGGCCAATGAGAGACCCCCATGTACCCTAGGTGAGCCAATCCTCCATGCCACTGTATACCTTTGCTCTCCCTCCCCCTGCCTTCTTTTAAAACTTGCTGCCTGCCCTGCTGAGCGTGACTTCCCTGACCTGTGATATCCAGACCAGGGAGCATCACCCAGGAATTGCGTTCAAATAAACTACCTGGCCCTTTGTTGCCTCTCTTCGCCTGCTTCTTTTGGCTAGAATTTATCTTACAGGAAGCATTTTATTAGTAGTTATAGTCAAGACAGCAGGAGTCAGCTCAGCAGCCCCGTAAACTGGGGCTTATTGTCAGCTTAATTACATGGATTTGAGGACATTTTTTCAAAACTTGCAACAAACTGGAGGAAATTTTCAACACTAACAAGGAAATTGTGAAGTTGTTTAATCTCTCTTTACTCATTCCATTTGTCCTACTTTTCAGAATTCTTATAATCAATGGCAACTATTTTTTTGACAATGAGATGCCTAGTTCTCCCCATACTCTAGCCTTTAGAAAATTCTCATGTAGAATCTTAATTCAGTTTTAAGGATCTATTAAAAGATAAAAGGCTAAGTGTAAGAACTGTCTTATTTTGGCACTAAAGTCTAAAGCAATGCTAGTCCTTATATTAAAATGCAGACTATGAGTAAGACATGTAAAGTTGTTATATAATACATATTTTTTATTAATAGAGTATTTTAATACTTGCTTACTAAAAATTAGAATGAACAGTAATAAAGATAAATATGAAAGTCTGATTTACTTTTTCTCCATTCCCACTCCCCAGAGTTAACTTTTAACACTTTTGCATACTTCAGGTAACTTTTATACATATTCGAATCCTGACATATGTAATACACTGCCATATGTAAACACATGCAAGCATGTTAAATACATGTTTACAAATACTTTTTTCTTGAGTACTTAAGCATTTTTGCACATTTATATCTATATCTCAACTTATATCTACATCACATACATAATTTTATTGACAGCTGCATGGCAACAGGAATTTTTTGAGGGGCTATACTATCCTTCCCTATCACTGTACCAAAGCTGTAGAATAATCTAGCAAAACTAAAATACATATTGGATAATAATTCAAAAATAATGTTCCTATCATTGAGTTTACATTTCTATGCCAACAAAATCATAAAATGATAGAGGGTAGTGTTAGTAAGGTAGATGACCTTCAGATGAATCCATTTTCAGCTGGTGACTTTGATTTGTATTAGGACCTTCAGCAAATTTAGGACTCTGAACACACTCTGCTGTCATGTCTCAGAGTTCCTGCACGACTATGATACTTTTATTTTCATTGTTGGGTGGTACTATTCTGGGAAATTTACATTAAAGATCACATTTACATTTCACATCAGATAGTCACTATTACTTCTATTGTTGAGATTGATGGTTTTGGCACTGTGGAGTGAATGGTAAGCTGTTTTCAACTTGCAGAGTTATTTTCCATTGGTGACACTAGAACACTTAGAGTTCTAAGATTCTAAGATAAGCAGTTTTCCTCTCTGACCATGACAAAGGCCTTGGATCAGGACAGTTCCTTTCAATCACATTCACACCACCATAGCAGAAAGACATCATTATACTCATTTTATAGATGGAGAGCCTGAAGTTCAAAAGAATAAGAAACATTCACTGGATGATATAATTAATGTCTTTATGTAGTAGAGACTTGAGTTCAGGTATGTCTGCCTCTAGATTCCATATTATTAATATCTATTTATTCTGATTCCATGAGGTCCTAAAAGGTAAAACACATGTTTCTTTGAAATGTGCCTGATAGTTTGCTACAACCTATCCACGCAGTTTTGAGGGTGGTCTAAATAATCTGAAATGTCTCAGAAGATAAGTCAATCTCCTTGGCGCTGAAGAGAAATTAGAATGAAAAAGTAATATGTCTGGGATTGTAACCAAACATTCCTAATAATAGCTATGTAAAAGGTAGTACAAAGAAAGATTAACCAATTGACCAAAATATCAAAGAACAAATTTTATTGAAGTTGTTTAAAATATGTATTTACTTTTTAAGTATTTGCTTTCATTTTTGAATTGGTGATATGCATGTAAAAAGATTACATTTAAAAAATACTTAGTTAATTGTGAATATTTCCAACAATGTATGTTTCATATTATAAACAAAATCAGCTCTTCAAACAGGTAGTAAAGTGATTATAAATAATTGAAACAGACAATAAACAGATTTCATTGGCTTCCTGAATTTTTATGTTTCAGGGAACCAAGAGTTGAAATATTGATCATGAAACAGGTAAATGAGAGCATCTCACAGGAGTTCATCCTCTTAGGTTTCTCATATCCACCATGGCTGGAGCTTCCACTCCCTGTGGTCTTCTTCATTTCTTATATCATGACTATCTTAGGGAATCTGACCATTATTCTAGTGTCAAGCCCAGACTCCAAACTCCATAACGCCACATATTTCTTTCTTACCAATCTGTCCCTCCTAGATCTCTGCTACACCACAAGTACATTTCCACAAATGCTGATAAATTCATATAGCACCGGGAAGGTAATTAGTTTTGGATGCTGTGTGGCCCAGCTTTTCATTTTTCTGGCCTTGGGGGCCACTGAATGTGTTCTGCTTTCTGTCATGTCCTTTGACAGGTTTGTAGCTATTTGTCAGCCTCTCCATTACTCAGTTATCATGCATCAAAGGCTCTGCCTCCAGTTGGCAGCAGCATCCTGGTTTACTGGTTTCAGCAAATCAGTGTGGTTGTCTACCCTGACTCTTCAGCTGCCCCTCTGTGGCCCCTATGTATTAGATCACTTTCTCTGTGAAGTCCCTGTTCTGCTCAAGTTGTCGTGGGTTGACACAACAAATGAGCCTGAACTATTGTTAGTAAGTGTACTATTACATCTTGACACTCATCCTTATATGATATGCTTTTATTGCCCAAGCAGTATTGAGAATACCATCTACTGAAGGTAGACAAAAAGCATTCGGAACATGTGGTTCCCATCTAACTGTGGTGTCACTTTTTTTTGTTATCATTAACCTACAGTTACATGAGTAACATTATATTTACTAGACTCCCCTCTTCACCAAGTCCCCTCCAAAAGCCCATTACAGTCACTGTCCACCAGTGTAGTAAGATGCTGTAGAAACACTACTTGTCTTCTCTGTGTTGCACAGCCCTCCCCATGCCCCCCACACATTATGCATGTTAATTGTAATGCCCCCTTTCATTTCTGCCCCCTTATCCATCCCTTCCTACCCATCCTCCCCTGTCCCTTTCCCTTTGGTAACTGTTAGTCCATTCTTGAGTTCTGTGATTCTGCTGCTGTTTTGTTGCTTCAGTTTTTTCTTTGTTCTATACTTCACATATGACTGAAATCATTAGGTACTTGCCTGTCTCTGCCTGGCTTATTTCACTGAACGTAGTACCCTCTAGCTCCATCCATGTTGTTGCAAAAGGTAGGATTTGTTTTCTTCTTATGGCTGAATAATATTCCATTACATATATGTACCATATCTTCTTTATCCATTCATCTACTGATGGACACTTAGGTTACTTTCATTTCTTGGCTATTGTAAATAGTGCTGTGATAAACATAGCAGTGCATTTGTCTTTTTCAAGCTGGACTGCTGCATTCTTAGGGTAAATTCCTAGAAGTGGAATTCCTGGGTCAAATGGTATTTCTATTTTGAGCTTTTTGAGGAACCTCCATACTGCTTTCCATAATGGTTGAACTAATTTACATTCCCACCAGCAGTGTAGGAGGGTTCCCTTTTCTCCACAACCTCGCCAAAATTTGTTGTTGTTTGTCTTTTGGATGGTGGTGATCCTTACTGGTGTGAGGTGATATGTCATAGTGGTTCTAATTTGCATTTTTATGATGACTAGTGATGTGGAGCATCTTTTCATATGTCTACTGGCCAACTGAATTTCTTCTTTGGAGAACTGTCTGTTCAGTTCCTTTGCCCATTTTTTAAATGGATTACTTTAATTTTGTTTGTTGAGGTGTGTGAGCTCTTTATATATTTTGGATGTTAAGCCTTTATCGGATCTGTCATTTATGAATATATTCTCCCATACTGTAGGGTGCCTTTTTGTTCTATTGATCGTGTCCTTTGCTGTACAGAAGCTTTTCAGCTTGATATAGTTCTACTTGTTCATTTTTGCTTTTGTTTCCCTTTTCCAGGGAGGTATGTTCATGAAGTAGTTGCCCATGTTTATGTCCAAAAGATTTTTGCCTATGTTTTTTTCCAAGAGTTTTATGGTTTCATGACTTACATTCAGGTCTTTGATACACTTCAAAATTACTTTTGTGTATGGGGTTAGACAGTGATCCATTTTAATTCTCTTACATGTAGCTGTCCAGTTTTGCCAACACCAGCTGTTGAAGATGCTGTCATTTCCCCATTGCATGTCTATGGCTCCTTTATCATATATTAATTGACCATATATGTTTGGGTTAATGTCTGGAGTCTCTATTCTGTTCCATTGGTGTGTGGCTCTGTTCTTGTGCCAGTACCAAATTGTCTTGATTACTGTGGCTTTGTAGTAGAGCTTGAAGTTAGGGACTGAGATCCGCCCCCCCCAGTTTTCCTTCTCAGGACTGCTTTGGCTATTCTGGATCTTTGGTGGTTCCATATGAATTTTAGCACTGTTTGTTCCAGTTCGTTGAATAATACTGTTGATAATTTGATAGGGATTGGATTGAATCTGTAGATTGCTTTGGGCAGGATGACCATTTTGACGATATTAATTCTTTCCAGCCAAGAGCATGTGATGAGTTTCCATTTGATAGTGTCCTCTTTAATTTCTCTAAGAGTGTCCTGTAGATTTCAGCGTATAGGTCTTTCACTTCCTTGGTTAGGCTTATTCCTAGGTATTTTATTCTTTTTGATGTAATTGTGAATGGAATTGTTTTCCTGATTTCTCTTTCTGTTAGTTCATTGTTAGTGTACTGGAAAGCCACAGATTTCTGTGCATTAATTTCATATCCTGCAACTTTGCTGAATTATGATATTAGTTCCAGTAGTTTTGGTGTGGAGTCTTTAGGGTTTTTCTATGTACAGTATCATGTCATCTGCAAATAGTGACAGTTTGACTTCTTCTTTACAAATCTGGATGTCTTGTATTTCTTTGTTTTGTCTAATTGCCATGGCTAGAACCTCCAGTACTATGTTGAATAACAGTGGGAAGAGTGACATCCCTGTCTTGTTCCTGATTTTAGAAGAAAAGGTTTCAGCTTCTCGCTGTTCAGTATGATATTGGCTGTGGGTTTATCATATATGGCCTTTATAAAGTTGATGTACTTGCCCTCTATACCCATTTTGATGAGAGTTTTTATCATAAATCAATGCTGAATTTTTCGAATGCTTTTTCAGCATTTTGGAGATGATCATGTGATTTTTGTTCTTTTTTTGTTGATGTGGTAGATGATGTTGGTGGATTTTTTAATGTTGTACCATCCTTGCATCCCTGGGATGAATCCCACTTGGTCATGGTGTATTTTTGAATCAGTTTGTTGATATTTTGTTAAGTATTTTTGCATCTATGTTCATCATGGCTATTTGTCTGTAATTTTCATTTTTGGTGGGGTCTTTGCCTGATTTTGATATTAGGGTGATGCTGGCTTCATAGAACGATTTTGAGAGTATTCCCTCCTTTTCTATTTTTTGGAAAACTTTAAAGAGAATGTGTATTATGTCCTCTATGCATGTCTGGTAACATTCCACAGTTAATCCATCTGGCCCAGGGGTTTTGCTTTTGGGTGGTTTTTTGATTACCGCTTCAGTTTCATTGCTGGTAATTAGTCTGTTTAGATTTTCTGTTTCCTCCTTGGTCAATCTTGGAAGGTTGTATTTTTCTAGGAAGTTGTCCATTTCTTCTAGGTTTTCCAGCTTGTTAGCATATAGATTTTCATAGTATTCTCTAATTCTTTGTACTTCTGTGGGATCCATCGTGATTTTTCCTTTCTCATTTCTGAGTCTGTTGATGTGTGTTGATTCTTTTTTACACTTGCTAGGGGCTTATCTATTTAGTTTATTTTTTCAAAGAACCAGCTCTTGGTTTCATTGATTTTTTTCTACTGTTTTATTCTCAATTTTATTTATTTCTTCTCTGATCTTTATTATGTCCCTCCTTCTGCTGACTTTAGGGTTCATTTGTTCTTTCTCCAATCTCAATAATTGTGACTTTAGACTATTCATTTGGGATTGTTCTTCCTTCTTTATATATTCCTGGATTGCTACATACTTTCCTCTTAGAACTGCTTTTGCTGTGTCCCACAGAAGTTGGGGCTTTGTGTTGTTGTTGTCATTTGTCTCCATATATTGCTTGATCTCTATTTTAATTTGGTCATTGATCCACGATTATTTAGGAGCACGTTGTTAAGCCTCCATGTGTTTGTGACCTTTTTTGCTTTCTTTGTACAATTTATTTCTAGTTTTATACCTTTGTGGTCTGAGAAGTTTGTTGGTAGAATTTCAATCTTTTTGAATTTACTGAGGCTCTTTTTGTGGCCTAGTATATGGTCTATTCTGGAGAATGTTCCATATGCACTTGAGAAGAATGTGTATCCTACTGCTTTTGGGTGCAGAGTTCTGTAGATATGTATAAGGTTCATCTGTTCTAGTGTGTTGTTCAGTGCCTCCGTGTCCTTACTTATTTTCTGTCTGGTGGATCTTTCCTTTGGAGTGACTGGTGTGTAAAAGTCTCCTAAAATGAATGCAGTTCATTCTATTTCCTCCTTTAATTCTGTATTTGTTTCACATATGCTGGTGCTCCTGTATTGGGTACATATATATTTATAATAGTTATATCCTCTTGTTGGACTGACTCGTTTATCATTATGTAATGTCCTTCTTTATCTCTTGTTACTTTCTTTGTTTTAAAGCCTATTTTGTCTGACACTAGTAGTGCAACTGCTGCTTTTTTTCTCCCTGTTTTTTGTATGAAATATCTTTTTCCATCCCTTGACTTTTAGTCTGTGCATGTCTTTGGGTTTGAGGTGAGTCTCTTGTAAGCAGCATATAGATGGGTCTTACTTTTTTATCCATTCTATTACTCTGTGTCTTTTGATTGGTGCATCAAGTCCACTTACATTTAGGGTGATTATTAAAAGACATGTACTTAATTCCGTTGCAGGCTTTAGATTCGTGGTTACCAAAGGTTCAAGATTAGCTTCTTTACTATCTAACTAATTTAACATGCTTATTAAGCTATTATAAACAGTGTCTGATGATTCTTCATTTCTATCCCTTCTTATTCCTCCTACTCCATTCTTTATATGTTAGGTGTTTTATTCTGTGCTCTTTTGTGTTTCCTTTGACTGCTTTTATTTGTAGTTGATTTTATTTTTTGCCTTAATTAGGATTTGAATGGTCTGATTTCTGCTGTGATTTTATTTTGTCTGGTGACATCTATTTAGCCTTAGGAGTGCTTCCATCTAGAGTAATCCCTCTAAAATACCCTGTAGAGGATGTTTGTGGGATGGGAGGCAAATTCCCTCAACTTTTGCTTATCAGGGAATTGTTTAATTCCTCCATCATATTTAAATGATAATCGTGCTGGATACAGTATCCTTGGTCCAAGGCCCTTCTGTTTCATTGTATTAAATATATCATGCCATTCTCTTCTTGCCTGTAAGGTTTCTGTTGAGAAGTCTGATGATCGCCTGATGGGTTTTCCTTTGTAGGTGACCTTTTTTCTCTCTCTGGCTGCCTTTCATACTCTGTCTTTTTCCTAGATTTTTGCCATTTTAATTATTATGTGTATTGTTGTTGTCTTCCTTGGGTCCCTTGTGTTGGGAGTTCTGTTGGCTTCCATGTTCTGAGATACTATTTCCTCCCCCAGTTTTTGGGTGTTTTCAGAAATTATTCCTCCAAATACACTTTCTATTCCTTCTTGTCTCTCTTCTTCTTCTGGTACCCCTATAAGGCTGATATTGTTCCTTTTGGTCACACATTTCCCTTAATATTCTTTCATTCCTGGAGATCCTTTTATCTCTCTCTGCGTCAGCCTCTCTGTGTTCTTGTTCTCTGATTTCTATTCCATTACAAGCTTCTTGCACCTCATCCAGTCTGCTCTTAAGTCCTTCCAGAGATTGTTTTATTTCTGTATTCTCCCTCCCAACTTCATCCATTAGCTCTTGCATATTTCTCTTCAACTCCATCAGCATGGTATGACCTTTACTTTAAATTTTTTTTCAGGAGGATTTGTTAAATCTATCTCCTCTGGCTCCCTCTTAGAGGTTGTCTGTATTATTCTTGACTGGATCAAATTCTTCTGCCTTTTCATGGTGGTAGAGGTAGTCATGGGCAGTTGGCACGTGTGTCAACTGGGAGAACAAATTCCCTTCTTGTTGGTTGCCTTCCTTTCCTGTGAGAATGGTGACCCCTAGTGGCTTGTGCTGGGAAGCTGAGTGCCAATAAGGTCTGTGAGGCTGGCCCAGGCAGCTGTGGAGGAGGCTCTGGGTGGTTGCTGTGGGCATGGCCACTCTCAGGCTGCTCCCCTGCTATGGTGGGGCCACACCAGGGGGGAATAGATGGGTAGCTGTTTGTCACTGTGAAGGGTTTCAGAGCTGCACTGCTTCCCAGGGGATTAGGGCACCCAGAATTCTCTGGGATTCCCAGCTGCTGGGCTGAGTGTGCCAGGACGCTTCCATCCAGCTGTGAGGCCCGTGTCCCTTTAAGACTTCCAAAAAGCACTCACTTTTCTTTTGTCCCAGGGGTTCCAGCTTCAGGGACCTGCTCGCAGATTTTACTGTTCCGTTTCCATAATATCCAGTACACCACACAATGTGTCTCTGCACTCCCGGTGCAGATGACTAGGGGTGGGTATTTAGCAGTCCTGGACTCCCTCTCCCTCCCTGCTCTGACTCCTTTCCTCCTGCTGGGGAGCTGGGGTGGGCAGTTTCCTGGGTCCGGCCGGGCCACAGCTCATATCTTATCCCCTTCATGAGATGCTGAGTTCTTGCAGATGTAGATGTAGTCTGTCTGTTGTACTGTATCTTCTGGTCTCTCTTTTAGGAATAGTTGTAGTTGTCATATTTTCAAAAATATATATGGTTTTGGGAGGAGATTTCTGCTGCCCTACTCATGCTGCCATCTTGGCTCCTCCCACTATGGTGTCACTTTTTTATGGTACAGCTATCTCCATGTACCTGCAACCAACATCACCCAACTCCAAGGACTGGGGAAAGATAGTGTCCCTCTTCTATGGGATCATTGCACCCATGGTGACCCCCCTTATATACACATTTAGGAACAAAGAGGTAAAGGAGGCCTTTAAAAAGCTAGTTGCAAGAGTCTTCCTAATCAGGAAATAAGGAATGTGCAAATGATAAGCTTGTAAAAACCTAATGTTTATTTGGCTTACTAACTTATTCCTCTTCAAGTTGTCCCATTTTTATCATTCCTACAGAAAACTGTTGTGTTGATCTCCCTCAAGTAAAACTTTATTAACAGAAAGCTGAACTAATTTTCTGTTGCCTAAACATACTCATTGAACAAGTAGTTACAACTGTCCTCCATCAGAAACTGTGGAACCTCAACATCTTCAAATTTCACATCAATGTATGTATAATTTTGTATAACTGAGACCTTTCTGGGAATACAATATAAGCCAGAAATCTTTTAGCTGGTAACATCCTACCACACACAAATGCTTTTTTTCACACAATGAAAGGAGGTTTCCCAAAACCCTGAAGAACAACCACTGGAAGAAGTAGCATATGCTACATTACCTGTTATTTTTTTTCATTGTTGAGTGATTCATTCATATTATAGTTATTTGTGTTGCTCTTCATTTTTGCCCTTTGTTTTCTTCTACCAGTACATTATGCATATAGAACACACAGTATCTGAAAAGTGCAGTCATCATACTTCTCCTTAAAACTTATAGTAGTAACATGTACATTTACCATAATATAATGCTAACAGATTGGATAAATAAATCCCATTTTCCAGTTTTCTGATTTTGGTTTAGCTCTTTCCTATTAGAAATAACTGTCATTAAAAGAATAAATGGAAGCAAAATACTAGAGATTGTATTGAAAGCAGAAGATGCAGGTTTTCTCACTGAAAATGAATTCATTGCTAAAGGTCCAGAAAAAGATACATCATTATCTAGAAGCAGGTGTGCATTTTAAAGCCAGTGAAATTTGGTGAATTATGAGCACATAGAAATCAAAATTGAAATAGCTTTTAATTTTTTAAAGGAAGGATTAATTGATCCAATTAATTTTACAGTGGTAGATTGATTTTTATAAACATTTGTACTGGCATATTGGTTTATAATTTTATACCACTAGAAAATTATTTATAGGGAAATTCCATAACTAGGCTATTATCAGTTACCTTATGATTATTAAAAAATATATAATTGATTTACTTAGAATAGACACACTAAACTAACTCTAGCTCATTTATTGCAATTCTGAGAAATTTATTTTTCTAATCCAAACCATTTTTAAGGAAAACATATTTTGAATGTGGTTTTCTTTAAATTGTGGTAATATATACATAACATAAAATTTACCATTTTTACCTTGAGCACACAGTTCGGTGACATTAAGTATATTCACATTTTCTTGAAAACTTCACCAAAATCTATCACCAGAATATTTTTCATCTTCCAAAACTGAAACCCTGTACCTATTAAACAATAACTACTCATTCTCCCTGTATCCCCTGACAACCACCATTCTACTTTCTGTCTCTATAATTTTTATTACTGTGGGTACCTCATATAAGTGGAATCATTAAATATTTGTTTTTTGTGACTGGCTTGTTTCACTTGGCTTAATGTCCTTAAGGTTCACCCATCTTGTAGCATGTCAGAATTTCCTTCCTTTTAAAAACTGAATAATCTTCCATTGTATGTATATACCACATTTTGTTCATCCATTTGTCCATCAATGGATACTTGGTTTGCTTTCACCTTTTGGCTATTGTGAACACAGAGAATACATGGATTCAATATGTGGAAGGACTTCTCATAGTGAATATAAGGAACACATGGATTAATTTTTGTGTCTGGTGTGAGGAAAAGGCACAACATCATTCTTTTTAGAGGTAGATATCCACCTGTCTCAGCACCATTTGTTGAAAAGACTATTCTTTCCTCCATTAAATTATCTTAGCACCCTTGTCAATACTCAGTTGTCCATAAATATGAAAGTTTATTTCTAGACTCTCAATTCTGCTGTTTATCTATACATTTGCCTCTGTGCCTGTACTACTATAGCTTTGTCGTAGGTTTTCAATTCAGGAAGTGCGAGTCCTTCAACTTTGTTCATCTTCATTAAGATTGTTTTGACTATTCTGTGTCTCTTGTATTTCCATATGACTTTTAGGATTGACTTATCAGTTTCTACAAAACATGGTGCCTGTACTTAATGATACAGTATTATGCACTTAAAAGTTTGTTAAGAGGGTAGATCTCATGTTAAGTGGTCTTACCACTCTTACCACAAAAACAAACAACAAATGAAGGGACAGGATGAAACTTTTGGATGTGATAGATATATTTTTACCTTTGTTGCCAAGCAGTCATGTCTGAGGATGTCTCTTCTTGCAGTCTAGGCAAAACCTAAACTGGGACTGGGGAGGAAGGGCTCTTGACCCTGACTGGGGAAGGATTCACAAACAGGTTCAACAGTGCAGGCAAGAAAGGAATTCATTAAGGCAAAAGTAGTAGCAAGTGTGGGAGTTGTGCAGTGCCAGAAAAAGTGGCTTTTTTACTTGTGCAGCCAAAAAGGCAGTAGAGAGCAAGGAAGAACAGAGGAAGACAAGGAAAGTTCATTCAATTCTTGCTTGGTGTAGGGCAAATCCCTTGCCAACTCCTAAAACCAGGGTCACCTGCTGCCCAGTATCCACTTGAATCTGCACAGTGTGGGAACTATGTCCCTAGCACCTGAGAACTGGGGGAGCTACAGAGTATTGGATGGAAACAAAATCTGGGAAATGAGTTCTTTTGCAGAAAATAGGCACTTGGAAAATACATTGCATATATGGGGGAAACTAGAAAACTACATGCATGCTCAAAAAGGTCTAAAGAGATTATGAACTTTATCTCAGACTGATCTTCACACTCAGTGCAAGCAGGAAATGAAGGCTAAGGAAGAGTTGTAAAAAGTCTTGTGAAGCATTGAAGAATGCCCCAACACAGATCCAATCTGCAAAGACCTGGAGAGCTTCTTCTTTTTTCTTTTCTTTTCTCTTGTCTTCTCTTCTCCTTTACTCTTTTTTTCTCTCCTTTACTCCCTGCTCTACTTTCCTCTCCTTTCTCACTGCCTTCCTTCTTTTGTTCTTCTTTCCTTCTTTCCTTCCTTCCTTCCTTCTTCCCCCCTCCCCCTTCTCTTTCTTTCTTTCTTTCTTTCTTTCTTTCTTTCTTTCTTTCTTTCTTTCTTTCTTTCTTTCTTTCTTTCTTTCTTTCTCTTTCTTTCTCGCTTTCTTTCCTTCTTTCTTTCTTTCTTTTCTCTTCTCTTTCCTTTCTTCCTCCCCTCCTTCCCTCCCTCCTTCCTTCCTTCTTTCCTTTACCCCTCTTTCCATTCTTCCCTTCCTTCCTTTCATTCTTTCTTTATTATTCAAAATTTCCAGTTTTGAACAAAAATTCAAGGCATGCAGATAAAAAAAGAAAGTATAGCTCATTGATAGGAAAAAATAAATGGACATAAGTTGTGCCCAAGGGAGCAGACATCGACTTACTAGACAAAGACTTTAAATTGTCTTAAATGTGCTCAAAGATCTAAAGGAAATCATAGACAGAGGAAACCAGGAAAACTACAAATAGAGATCAATAAAATGCTATTCTTATCACATTATATCCAGCGTATATACTACAACATGACTTATGCTAACATTGATGTTAATCTGCTCACCTGGTTATGGTAGTACTTGCTAGTTTTCTCCATTGTGTTACATTTTTTACCCTATTCTATACTGAACAATTTGGAGGGAAGTCACTATGCATAGTCCACAATTAAAGGGTTAAGAGTTACATCTTTGAAGACAGTGTCTACATGAATTATGTGGAATTCTTTTGTATAGGCTATTCATTTCTTCACCTCATTTATTTATTTATTTAATCATTCATATCGGTATGAATACATGCATAATTGATTTTATACTTGGAATTACAATTTATTTATTTTGTTGTTCAAGTTGTTCCAGCTTTGGCCACTGGGGACTCTTTCTGTTGGTTGTTTGTCCCTTTGACATACCCTACTGCTTATTTTTAAACACTACTGTGTGGTACTATTGGATGCTTCAGTCCCATCTTGTATATTTTCTACCCCAGCCCTAAAATCAGCCATTTCTCTAGGAAACTTGGTCCCTTTATAGGAGAATGGTTTTAAAAACCAAGATCTGGGTGCTAGGTGTGCTTGTTCCTTCTATGCATTCTCAAATGAGAGAGCAAGGAGGTATATGTGTGCATAGTAACCCATGTATATACACATATATGTGTACACATTACTAGGCATAACTATATAGTTATATGTTAAGCTAAACTTGAGTTAGTACTGATGACTACAACTCTAATTCATTACCATATGGGTCATTCTAGCCTCTTCAGCTTGCTTACCAGTAACATCCTACTCCAATGGTAAGAAACCTGGCTCCTACCATCCACCAATCATTTACTTAATTGTTCAATTCCAGTATAAATGTATAGCAATGTTTGATGTAATCTTTTAAGTTATGAATATTTCTTTAGAGATTTTTCTCTATATTCTTAATGTTTCCCAATTTCACTGTGGTTTATTTACTAGTCAACTATAGCCAGAATGAAAATGTGTAAGATCAGAAAAGTCAGTAGTTTAAAATAATTATTTTATCATGCTCATGGATCTAGGAAAATATTTTTATAGCAGATCACTAGAAACAAGAGAAAGCCAAGGCACATAAGCACATTTTAGACCTCGGTTGTGTCACATCTACTAGCATTCCACTGGTCAAAGCAAGTCACATGGTCAAGCCCAACATCAATGAAGTAGGAAATCTACCCACATTAAGAGAGAGAAAGAAGTGATTATTTGCTTAACAATAATCTTGTGTCAATGTGCAAAAGGTATGTTTATGTGTGTGTGTATATATATATATATATATACACAGTGTGTGCATGAGTGAATGAATGACTAGCATTTATTATGACTTCTTTGGGCCCTTATCACCTGATAATTATATCTTTCTTGAGTTCACAGAAATTCATAGCTTAAAAAAGTGTGGCCTTCTTTTTGCTCTTATTACTAGGGATAGAGAGTCAGAATAGAGACAGTGTGCTTTGTCCATCATCTTGAATAGAATCAATCATTTTCTTATGACT